TGTCTGTCTGTTTGTACTTGTCTGTTGGTTTATCGGTTTTCTATTAAATTTTGAATTTGTGATGCACTCCCTTTAGACTTTTGATATAAATAGGGGATTGAAGTTATGAAACGTCAAAATGTCAGCCAATAGCAAAACTCTTCTTGCAAAATGATTAACCTGCACGTGGTACATTCATTTCAATCCTGTCCTGCATTAAAGCACTATAGCACTGTAAGCTCTAATGCAGAAAGAAAATGCACTGGGGCCAGGGATACCACCCCTAAGGCTTGCACATGGAATGATTCTGTTGAATGTTGGAATGGAAGGGAAAACATTGATCTACCTGTGTCCATGTAGTACTCAGTGCCGTTTGGTTTCGCTTGAAGGTTAAACCAGAAAGCTAAAGTGAAACCATTGGTGCACATGGAAGTATTGCTCACACAAGTACCTAGGTCAAAAAAAAGTGAATAAATCCCGTCAACAATTGTGAAGAACAGATAGAACTAATAACAGCCTCACACACAAGCTGTAGCTTTTAGAGCTTCAGTGTCCAACTATTTTGGCCACTCAAATTTTGAAACTGTGGGTGTCATCCATTCATCTTTTTCTTTTATCTAGGTTGCTGGATTTAAACAAAAATATCTCGAGATGAGAGTTCTAAACATTCAATCATAGTTGCTGGGCAAGCGAACATGAATTCAAGCATTTGTGACATATAATAAAAAATTAGCACTGTGAATTCACAAACATTGGACACATTTTAACTCTGGAGAATTTGCTGCAAATGTTTCAAGATGTCAAAGTCAATGCACCTTCATATTGACCTGAAGTATGGGCTGACTTTTAAGCTGCATCCTTTCTGTATTTATAGAATGGGGTTTGAATTATTTGTTGGGGAAGAGACAATGCAATTACAGTTTTCTCATTTTGGATTTTGCTAAGGTTTACATCTAACTGTGCTTTAAAGCTGTAAGGAAAGTAATTCCAGACTAAATTCCCTTTTTCCCTCTTTTTTCCACAGCACTGGCACGGCCCATGTACCTCCAAAGTCTCCAAAGTATAATGGTGAATCCTCCCCGGCCCTAATTCGGAGGGAATTGCCCTTCTGCTGGTCGTAACAGCGAACTGACCCAGTGGAGAAACTTGCATTGGCCAGGGAAGATCCCACAACGCCGGTGGTCTGTAGACAAAATGAATCCAAGCAAGAGCATACGAATGAATCTGAACTGCTCCTCCTCAACATTCCAGCTCTGCTTCAGGGACAGAGGAGGGAAGAGGTGTGTTGGGAGGTACTGCTTTGCTCAGCAAAACTCAGCTGATTACTAGCTATAAACAGCATGCATCAAATAGCATTGTGACTAGTCACCGTTCTGTCAAAAACAAATAAATAAACAGCAATTAAAGAATCAAAACAACAACAAAACATAAAATCGAGGGTTCACCATAAACCGCAGATTTACACGCAGCATGCTTTGCAAAGTGCAAACTCAAATTTCTTTGGCATCACAAACTCTTTTTAAAAAGTAGTAGAGACAGCACAATTATTGTTACTTACATAGCTCTCGTAAGCTCGTACGTAGACAAAGTCCAAGGTGAAGTACAAGAAGGCATGGGTGTATGTTTGGCTAACTTTATGCATTCAAGAAATGATAAAAATGGTAAAAAGCCTCAATGTTAATGTAAAGAAAATAAGTCAGTTTAGACACAACTACATAGGAAAACTGGATGTCATTTGCCATATCTGTCAACTGGCTTAAAAATACTCTTTCTGTGGACTAGGAACATTCACAAGAAGTGCGCAAAAAGAAAATGACATTGCACGAGCCCTTTCATCCCTGTTGCCAGTGCAAACATCATCGATGTTTGTATTGGTTGTCACTCATACAGTCCAACTCACCTTGTCTCATTCTACACCCGACATATTCATTGGTAACATCCATGGAATTGCCAAGAACTGACATAAAACGGTTGTCACTGTAATGTAGCTGAAGAAGTTTGTCCATAGTGTCACCGCTTAGGTTTTGGAAGTTGTCAAATCCTGGTCTATGTTGACATATAAAGAAATAAATAACAAATCCAAACTTAGTTTATTGTCTGCTACTTTGATTTATTTATTTTTGTTCATTCAGTTGTTGGAATGAAGTTTCATTCATTTTTCTATTTATTTCAAGGAATTCTATTCTGTGCTTTCACAATAGTTGTTTTACTTTTTTGCACAATTTAAGCTATTTGAGTGAAAATTAAACATTAGGCCTATACATTCTACACCTAAGTTGTTGAATAACTGGAAATTGTTTTGGATAGAACTCCTTTGTTCAAAACAATTGAACAGGATATGTAAGCACAGATAGCCCAACTCATGGGGCAAAACAACATTTTCTTGAGAAAAGTGTTCGCGTGACGCATTTTGTAAATTTGAAAAATATTAAACTAATTGTGTTTTACTTACATAAGATACTGCAAGTCACTGTCTGACAGAGTTGTTTCGGAGTCATACCAAGACCAGGAACCTGTGCTGTAATGCAGCCCCGTCCAAATCCCATCCCCGTCACTGAAAGAATTCCTGCAGAAAATATTGATATCACGGGGAGACAACATTGGGCCAAAGGAGCAACAACTACCATGGGGAATTAGGTGAAAGTCCTTTTCACAAAGGAAAATATTTTACGCCTTCCCACTTGGGTTCAAATTCCATCCAGGCATTGGTGTATCCAGGTCATGGGTCGAGAGGCGGCAAAATGGATTTCCTAAACATGTCCACTTTTTATTCAATGGCAGAAGATTGAATCCCCCTTTAAAAAAGATTGTACTTTCAATTAAAACAAACAAAACAAAATTATAAAAAGAGAGAGAGATAATTCCTTTTCCCCTCCCCAGCTTGCCCTATTTGCAAGAGAAGTTTTACTTACGCCTCATACAGGAAGAAAAGAAGTTCCTCCCTGTTTGTCCAAAATAGCATTGCCCCTCCAAAAACGCTACATCTCTGTGTGGTAACTGCTATCTGTGAACCAGCCCACACCCTCACAGCAAAATAGCAGTGTCCGTTGAAAGATTGTCCTTGAACTTCCCCAGAACTGATGCAGCCGGTATCTGCAGAAGAAAACACAGTCAACACATTTGTTTTATTATGTAAGGGCAGACGGGGACTTCCCCCGAAAATGGGTATTTTCTCCTAAACTGATGAAAGACATTTTTGTGTACTTCATTTGTTTTTCCTAAACTACTGAGAGAAACGAATTTTTGGCTACTTCGTTTCCCTTCCAAGTGCAAGTGAAAGGCCTAGAATTTAACTTCACCTCTCAGAAAGGATATTAAAGGTTAAATGTTAAAAAGGCCAATTTTGGGGTCCACCCCCACCCCCCCACAAAAAAAGTCTGACCAAGAAAATTTGACTCGTGATCCTTCCTTGTTATTGTAAGCAATTCCAATAGCGGTTCGGGTGCACGGTAGATGCTATGCCCCCTCCTCGCCCGGACATGTTTTGTTGTCATTACTTTTACAAAATAATGAAGGAAAATGGTTTTGCAGTGTTTTAATAGTGGTTCGAACAGCTACTTTTAAGCTATTCCCATCCCATCACACACACACGCCCTCGCCGATGTCATAGAACTGACATGCTTTTTGGGGGGGGGGGCTCTTAGTTGTGTAACAGCAAATATGTGTCATCAAATTAAGCTTCAAGTTTCACTAAACTAAAGTTAACATTCAACCCATTCACAGTATTATAACCACAGTTTTTTGAGTGCGTTCAATTCGTGGTTCGTCTTACTTTGGTTGAGGTAACTGCCCTCTACCGTCGGCAGCTGACCAAGCATGATCCACCCAAGAAAGCTGACCTGGACAGACGAAAGATTTGAACAAGGTTTTAGAAAAGAAAAGGGCCACGCACGACGACGTTCGTCTTATGCATATTAGGCCTATGCTCAGAACGCATAAAGTACGCACTGCACACTTCTGAAGCATAATATGCATAACGACGCTAGTCGTTCTACGAGGCCTCCTTTTCCGTATACTTTTGAACAAGTGAGCTTTCAAATTCTCAAATTCGACCCACCTGACATAATGTCCTATTAGTAGAGTCTCCATCTTTTCCAATGGAGTTTGATCTCTTATAAGGTGCTTTCAGGAGAATGAAGGTTCTGGTTAAAGAATAATTAACAATCTAGGTTTGTCCGATTCACTAGTAGTAAGCCGTATATCAAACTTGAACTTGTGAAGCCACAGGTTTTGCAACAGCCGTCGGATTTCCACGACTGCATAAAATTAGCATCTTATTTAACATTCCACCAATCGGGGTCGAGGTAGTTTTTCTTTGCACATGGCGTGATGCGGTACAGGAACTACACCTGTACACTTTTTGACCCAGAATTCCGAAGAGTTCTTGTCCGGCGACTGCGACAACAGGAAGAGCGGCAGCTTCAACAGTGAGCAAAATCTTTCGACCGAAGCTTATTTTGCACTATGATCAATTCCATCAAGTAACAAACGTCGGGGCACGTATTGCTCTGGCTTTAGTTTTCGTGGTGAAAATTGTAATGTGAATAGAAGCCCATTAAACTAGAAACATGTAAATTATTTCAAAATCTCTAGCACGAATACCTCCAGTATGAGATGTTTTCAGGGAATCAGATATACTTCGCTATATTTCAGTTCGCAGCCTATTTCAAAATACTCTTACGCTAAATGAGTGTTGGAAAAGCCTGTGTAGCAAAATCATAGTTCTTAACCCCCCCCCCCAAAAAAATTGCTTTTGCCTTTTATTCTTCACGTATGAACAAAAAGAAATCAACCAAACGAACAATACCGGTATATACATTTAGGGCAAAAAGTTTACAGACACTTTTTAGAAAAACAGTTGTCCTCTTTTTTTTCGCTGTTTGGAATAGTTTTGCCAACTTCTTCATGAGTCCAGACAAGTTGTGTCTCCATTCAATGTTCACAGTGTGTACTTCAAATGGAAGTAGAGACAGACATTTATTATAGTTCAAAATATTAGTATTTCTGACAAATCATTTTGTAAAAATTTACATTTACCTCCTTATTGTTGTTCAAAAACACTTCAGAAAGCGGTCCACTGCGACCATGAGATGTGATCCCCTTCCCGACAACAACAAAAATGGGGAATTGGGGTATTCACAAATTGGATTTTGTACTCTTTTTTTTAGATATAAATGTGAATTATACATTTGCCTGTGGGTGTTTTATTTTGATGCATACACCGTGCACAATATGGCTCTACCTGGCCCAGCCGAAGCGGTGAGATTTTTTTGGGGGGGGGTGGAATACCCTTTTCCATTGTGTTTACTTGACAAAATATTGATGAAAGGTAGACATAGAAGCAGAAAAAAAAGACTATGTATAGTGCTTAATTACCTAATTAACAGTGTGACTCACAGTGGGTCACGCTCCCACTTGGAGGTATAATGCAATAGTTCACACTTCGCAGGGTTAATTAAGTATAGAGACCCATGTTGTCTGTCCTCATTAAAAAAAAGAAACGTTGGTAGAAATGAGTGGAGTAGCGAAACTTGAGGAAAATTTATCTTTTTTTTCAACCAGATGTGTGTGAATTTTTTGTCCAAAACTGCATACCCCCAACCTCTTAGCACATGAGGTCAACAGAGAAGCTAATTAGGGGTCCAAGTTGCAGAATGCCACGGGCTGCAGAAATTTAAATCAAAATCGGGGCGCTTTCAGCTGTATAACAGATTATAAATGCAAAGTCAGGACGACGACAGTAGATCATAAATGAAAAACCAGGATAAGAAAAGTAGATAATAAACGCATGGGGTAATTCGTTATAAACAAAATATCCACATATCAATCAATATCTTGCCAGTGTTTTGTTTTGTTTGTTTGTTAGGTTGTTTGTTTTTTAAATACGACCATTCTATTTTGAAACGCGCAGTAACAATCCTAGTTATGGGCTGTAGAGACATTGTCATTCCCGCGATTGATCAAGATCTTCAGATTCTTTTTTTTTAAGCGCAAAATATTTCAGTTCCCAAAAATGTCATTTTTGTCAACAGAAAACACCTTCCGTATTGGGTGTGCACAGAATATAACCAAACTTGCAGCACAAGTATATTTGTTCCCTAAACCCTGTTAAAAATTAATAATAACAAAACAAAACAAAACAAAACAAAAAAAGAAGCTAGACGTGCCGTCAATTAGAGAGAAAAAAGGTTGAATTGTTGCATCTACACAGAGCCCCTCCAATGTGAAGGAGTTAACGAAAGCGTTTCTTCATGGAAAGATGTACATTAATTCCCGTTGATATTCCAAGCAACTTGTTTCCAGCTTCAACAGCTTGCTGAATAAAGAAATAATACACTTATCGGCTGCTACCTTGTCTAGAATTAGAATGTCGTCCCAATACACATAGTAACAAAAAAATAAATAAAACTGAATAAAGAAGTGGGGTTTCCATTCAAAATATCTTTACGCAATGAAACATACTCACCAGTATAGCCAAAAAGCCAACGATAAAGCACATTGTTGCACTTAAAACTTACTCGGAGACGCAACGGAACGACGGTTATCGTCAGTGAGTTTCAGACTGAAGACTGAGAAATGTTGCCTTCCAATTGCTGTCTGACACAGTGCGTACCACCGTCCAAAATCGTTTTTAATTGTCATACCCCGCGTATGAGGTTGATAATTAGCAGAGAAAACGAACGAGGAAGGTTCCCTGCTGAAGTAATTAAGCTCCTACAGAAAGTAAATGGGAATTTCGATTGATTTTTTTTTAAATGATGGACCCTGGACACAGCAACTTTGTTTACACTCACTTTAATAATGCACGCCGTGTCGCCTTCTTGAAGACGCTGTTGATGTAAACTAACAACACCCTTTCTAAAATACATAGCTGAGGTTTGTCCACTGTGTTCAGGTGTTTGTCGAAAAAGAAAAATGAGAAAAAAAAGTGTATTAATTAACTCAGCATGGTACGCAACCTACAAGCTCCTACTGGAAATCAGCAGGAAGGCGAAGTTTTTGGGACTGGTATTGTTTCGACGAGATTCGTCTACCTTCACAGTTATTAAAAATAACGGGGGGTAAGATACAGTTACAAAATTCACACTTGCATCACAAAAATGTTAGGCCGTAACGTGTCTCTTAGTGATCATGAATCATGATCATTGACAATGTGTCAAAGTGTTGTCAGCATGTTTCTTTACACAGGCACCTCTTGGGAAAACTAGACAACAAGCAGTCGAAGTACTGATAATTAGGACGAGGGGAGGGGTACATCAATGTCGTCCAGTCCTTGTGCCCAGCGCTAGCGCCCCGCGCCCCAACAAGGCGCAGCGAACTTTCAGCTTTGCTTGAGCTTCAGCTGAGTGCAGTGCGCCCGCTATAGTTTCTCGCATAACATAAACTTGTAAGGTCGAGGAATTTGGAGGGTGGGTGAAAATAATTTAGGCAGGATATTTACCTTATTTTTTCTTCAGTGATCTTGGAAAGGAGTAGAAATTCAAATGGTATCAGTAGTAATAGTTAAAAAAGTAAACATGCAAAAAAGTAAAAAACAAAAAATGCAATTTTAAGTCTTTAGATGTGCAATGATGAAAACAAAATTAAAGGTAAGACTAGATAAAGTTTAGTACACACGTTGCACATGCAACCACGTCGCTGCTTCAGTTCAGTAGGCGTTCATGATGATCGAGCATACGTCAAAATTCTGGTCGGTTGACAAAATCAGCTGATGCGCTCGCTCTTCGCTAATTGTTACAGAGTTCTACAAATTTCCTTCCATTACCTCTAGATTTCGTGGACATTTACTGAGACTGGACGGCCATATCTCTCCAGATCAGGACCAGAACACTAAAAGGTAACTATCAGGCTATTTCAGGGCATCTGCGTCAGTTGTGTGTTCTATCAAGGATTTGTCGGTCAGTTTCGTATTATCCAGTGCAGTGCTGAGGCTAGTCGACACAGTCGTCAACTAGCGTAGTGTCAACTAGTTTGGAAAGGCAGGCATGACGGACGGCCGGTAAAGTTGACCATCTTATACGTCTGTTGGGTGGTCCACTTTTCATTTTGAAGCTTTTTCGTTTTCTTGTATCTTGACATCTGTTAATTGTTACAGTTTAATCGTACAGTTGTTGCACGTGCTTACTGTTACAGTGCAGTATAAACATGGCTAATTAGGCCTAAGCATCGATGTAATGATTTTTATTGTTTAATGTAGATTTACTCCTGTATTTCTCTCTCAAATGTTGCCTCTTGAGCAGCCTCCACCTAACCTGTAATCTTTGATGTTGACACAGGTTCAATAAAAAAAAAAGATCAGAGTAAATCCATAACAATTGGGATTCGCAACCCAGTCCTTCCAATGGGTATTGGAAACAAGTTTAAATAAAAATTATGTTAATCCCCCCCCCAAAAAAAGTTTGCCAACCAGGGTGACACTCGTTTTCAGAGGAATTTGTTGTTGCATATGTGTACATGTACTTAAATGCTTGTTTTATAGAAATTACTTTAATTACATGTATGTTCAACTCTTTACTCGTATGCTAGTGAGGAGTTGGGATCAGCTGAAATAACTGGAGGCTGGTGGCTCACAGTCTACGAGTTGACCCTGAAATAATCATTTACACCACAAATGATGACTTAAGCATTTGTATTACTTGTGCAATTCGTTTATTAAACAGTGCTGTGGTGGGTAGAATTGGTCTAGTTTCCTGCCTTTTTCTGGGGGGTAATGCACAGGGTGGCCTAGCACCGTGAGAGGGCTTCATGTTCATGTGAAGAAATTGAAAGGTTTTCCGTTGAACATTCCAAATCAATGGAATATATACATATATGTACATGTTAGAACAAGTACCGGTACATG